CAGTCATCTTTCTTCACACAATGGACCATTGTGTGTGTTCATCTCGGCTACTGATTATTTTATCTAATTTATTTCCTGTTAGAGAATGAAATTACGGTCAACAACCAGCAAGAATAACAGAAATATAACCTAAAACAGAAAGAATTTGATGAGTGGAAACCATCAAAAAATCACACAGGGTTTCATTTAGCCATTTCATTCAAAACTGAACATATACTCAATCTGATTCGGGAGTTTCTAACTGCACGTCTACATCTCTGTGCCTCAGTCACATTTGAAAGTTAAGTTAGGTGAAAAAATCCGTTCTTGACAGCTGCAATACAGAATTGTGTACAACCCAAATTACTGTAACTAGAGCCAAGTTATTAGGCCATAATATCTCCAAAAAACACAGTGTACTAACAGAATGCCAGTGTTACTTAGATCTTTCGTGGCCTTCTAGAAGGTCAGAGAGATATGTAGACCCCTTAAAGTTCTTTCAGGATCTCCAACAAAGTTTGCGTGGTGCAGTTTGAAAGTATTTGTACCCCTCCTTCATGATTTGTGAATACTGTAATACAATAGCAGTCTGGTTCCCTGACCAGCAAGCAGTAATACTGTTAGCTGTTTGAAGAGTCCTGTCTTTTTGTGTCTGTACAAACACATTGTGATCACAATAAATGATTGTGTGAAGTGCATATTAATTATTCTAACAAGAATACAACTTAGTTTACTAAACATCCAGCTGTTATTTTTTCTGGCCATTTTGCAAAGTTATACCCGTTTTTGTTTTCATATCCATTTTGAAAAGTGCCAGTCCAAAATTACACACTGCCTATCCAAAAACAACAGGTTAATGGTTCACTATGAGACCCTGCAACTTTCAATATCTTCAAAATATGATATGGCATTCATATTGTGAATAACGTATTGCAACCAACAACATTTTTAATTAACTGATACAGTTCTGTAGCATTTGATATTACACTTCTACAACATGGTGGTACCACAGTTATTAATGACACCATACGTACCTTCAAACCCCTCTCCCTGCAGAAGTTACTTTTAATAACTGTATGTGAAGTATATCTCTATTGTATCTCAAACTTTGGGAAGTAAACAGTTAAGGAACTGAGGCCTATTTGTTTTGCCTACTTTGCTGTTGATCGTGTGGGCTTTTTTTCCCTGTATAGTTGACCCTTGGTAATACGAGCTCAGATAGGATGAGATTCCGGTTAAGATGGACATATTTTACTAGTCCCGACCAAACTGTGTACATTCGTATGAGGAAAAAATCGTCTGTGCTAGCATGGGTGATACAAGAGTTTGAGTGCAAATGCATGTTTATCTCTCTATTTGGCAAAAGTGTTTCAAAAACACCCGTCATCCAACAAACCCATCTACTAAAGGTGCCGTTGTACTAGGCGTGATAATGTTCTCATGTAGATTCTCAACCAATCAAAGGGTATTCTTTACGAGGGCTTTTCATACCACCCAATCCAGACGAACTAAATGGACAATGGGTGTTTGCAATTCCTGGGCCCTCAGAGGACCTAAATAAAAGAAAAACTTGTTACAAACTCCCCATCAAAACATGACAAAAGAAGAGAAACACGCCCCTACCCGATTAAAAAACTAATATAAAACTCATGTTGAATTAAAATTAATTGTTCTTCCATCCATTAATGTCTCTTTGGAAGTCAAATGTACAATTTCTAAATTCTTAACCCCTTCGCGCCGGGACTCGGGTAGAAACACCAAAAAAAAAGCACCAAATTGAGATCCTCAGCCCGCTTTTCACCTATTATTCTCGGCCCATGCTCAAGCGAACACGGTGAAAGAAGGGAGACCCTGGCTCTTGTGTATATGGTAATTGGTCTTTGTGTGTAGCCCAGAAATGAAAAGACCGAATTTGCATCATAATCACCAGCTTCACAATAGTCCCCACTTTGAGAAGAGGCAACGGGAATGTGGAAGCGTGAGTAGAGCCGCATGCCACCGAACAATCAGCCTTTTCANGTCATCTTTCTTCACACAATGGACCATTGTGTGTGTTCATCACAACGGACAGTGCAACAGTAGGCTATATCGGCTACTGATTATTTTATCCAATTTATTTCCTGTTAGAAAATGAAATTACGGTCAACAACCAGCAAGAATAACAGAAATATAACCTGAAACAGAAAGAATTTGATGAGAGGAAACCATCAAAAAATCACACAGGGTTTCATTTAGCCATTTCATTCAAAACTGAACATATACTCAATTTGATTCGGGAGTTTCTAACTGCACGTCTACGTCTCTGTGCCTCAGTCACATTTGAAAGTTAAGTTAGGTGAAAAAATCCATTCTTGACAGCTGCAATACAGAATTGTGTACAACCCAAATTACTGTAACCAGAGCCAAGTTATTAGGCCATAATATCTCCAAAAAACACAGTGTACTAAGAGAATGCCAGTTTTACTAAGATCTTTCATGGCCTGCTAGAAGGTCAGAGAGATATGTAGACCCCTTAAAGTTCTTTCAGGATCTCCAACAAAGTTTGCGTGGTGCAGTTTGAAAGTACTTGTACCCCTCCTTCATGATTTGTGAATACTGTAATACAATAGCAGTCTGGTTCCCTGACCAGCGAGCAGTAATACTGTTGGCTGTTCGAAGAGTCCTGTCTTTTTGTGTCTGTACAAACACATTGTGATCACAATAAATGATTGTGTGTAGCGCCTATGTACTTGTGCTGGGCCAATGTGCACACATGCAAACAAGTTGGCAAGGATAAGCAATAAATCGTGACCCGCCGGTCAGTCAGGCAATTTATGAGGTATTTTTGTGTCGTTAATTATTCTAACAAGAATACAATTTAGTTTACTAAACATCCAGCTGTTATTTGTTCTGGCCATTTTGCAAGATTATACCTGTTTTTTTTCCATATCCATTTTAAAAAGTGCCAGTCCAAAATTACACACTCCCTATCCAAAAACAACAGGTTAATGGTTCACTATGAGACCCTGCAACTTCCAATATCTGCAAAACATGATATGGATATGGCATTTATATAGTGAATAATGTATTGCAACCAAGATATTGAACATTTTTAATTAACTGATACACTTATGTAGCATTTGATATTACACTTCTACAACATGGTGGTACCACAGTTATTAATGACACCATACGTACCTTCAAAACCCCTCTCCCTGCAGAAGTTACTTTTAATAACTGTATGTGAAGTATATCTCTATTATATCTCAAACTTTGGGAAGTAAACAGTTAAGGAACTGAGGCCTATTTGTTTTGCCTACTTTGCTGTTGATCGTGTGGGCTTTTTTTCCCTGTATAGTTGACTCTTGGTAATACGAGCTCAGATAGGATGAGATTCTGGTTAAGATGGACATATTTTACTAGTCCCGACCAAAGTGTGTACATTCGTATGAGGAAAAAATCTTCTGTGCTAGCATGGGTGATACAAGAGTTTGAGTGCAAATGCATTTTATGTCTCTATTTAGCAAAAGTGTTTCAAAAACACCCGTCATCCAACGAACCCAACTACTAAAGGTGCCGTTGTACTAGGCGTGATAATGTTCGCTAATCCAGGACTGCAGTTTTGCAGCATTTTAGATTCCCAACCAATCAAAGGGTATTCTTTACGAGGGCTTTTCGTACCACCCGATCCAGACGAACAAAATGGACAATGGGTGTTTGCAATTCCTGGGCCCTCGAGGACCTAAATAAAAGAAAAACTTGTTACAAACTCCTCATCAAAACATGACAAAAGAAGAGAAACACGCCCCTACCCAATTAAAAAACTAATATAAAACTCATGCTGAATTAAAATTAATTGTTCTTCCATCCATTTATGTCTCTTTGGAAGTCAAATGTACAATTTCTAAATTCTTAACCCCTTCGCGCCGGGACTTGGGTAGAAACACCAAACAAAAACCACCAAATTGAGATCCTCAGCCATTATTCTCGGCCCACGCTCAAGCAAACACGGTGAAAGAAGGCAGACCCTGCCTCTTGTATATATGGTAATTGGCCTTTGTGTGTAGCCCAGAAATGAAAAGACCGAATTTGCATCATAATCACCAGCTTCACAATAGTCCCCACTTTGAAAAGAGGCAACAGGAATGTAGAAGCTTGAGTAGAGCCGCATGCCACTGAACAATCAGCCTTTTCACCGTGNGGAAAGAAATTCCCGTCGTCAAGGGGTTAATGGAAAAAAAAGAATCACTTTTTTCCTGCCAAAAATATTACCCAGGCCCTGACCTAGGTCCTCTCATATCCACACAAAATTCACTGGTTTCCTTCGCTTTACACATGTAGAAAAATGCAACTCTGGTCACCTGCTAAAATGTTAATGAACTTGTGTGCACATTCTTTTGCAATACCCAGTATGGGTTAACATGGCTTCGACAATGATTGGTGATGAGTCGTTTGGCCTGTTGTTGCATTTTTATTTTTGCTTTTCTCAATTACCATACAAGTTTTATGATTACAATTCTTTATTCATTACACATTTACATTCCACTTTCATAAAGAACGTGTTTCAATTGTTTCAAATTCATAACTGTATCAACAGAAACACCTATGCATAAATTAGTTACATAACTGATAATATCAATCAACGACGCACTTCAAGTAGGAAAATACTTTTAGCTTAAGACTAGGATTTGGAAAACACAAGATAATATACTACGTCCCAAGACCCTTGTATTAACAAGAGTGGACTGCGTTTTTGTGCGAAAAAAGATCAGTGGAAAGACAACCCGTGCATATTCCCAGATAGCCATTCTCAAACCTAGACACCTGAGAGAGAGGTTTGGTAATGGACACTGATTCATACAACCTTTGATCTCAAGGACAGTAGTGCAGAGAGATTACAGCTTTGAGAATGTGGGTTTAGTCTTCTGCATAGCTGCTGTCGTCGCTTTCATCAAATCTTCACTCTGCAACATGCTGGCATTCCACGTCGTCTGTCACACATAAAAATAGTATGATAACCTGATTATATTTCATGGAATAAACCACATTCTGTTCAGTTAAGGGATTGTCTCAAGAACTTGAATGCTGAAGAACGTTCCAAGGAGAATGCCGCTTGTTCCATTTGGGTACACCAGCTCTTCTTCCTGGAAACAGCTGGCAAGTTCTTTGTATGCTTTCCGAGGGAACAGCCTACTTCCGTTAGGAAAATGACAGCAACACAGGAAATTCCCAAACAGAACTCACAGTGGCCCTAGCAGAAGTAATCCACTTTGAATGAGAATGTTTATTCTCATTGTTCGTTGGACCTGTGTCTAGCTTTCTTGTAAAGTGAGGGGCAGAGCATATTATCGAAGATGCTAACCCAATGTGCAATGAGTGGTCACAGATAACAGACATTCCTAAAAAAAAACCTTCAAATTGAGGGATAAGGCAATCACATAACTTTACTGGAGAAGCAGGTGAGAGAGTACGACTTTAGAGAGAGGCTGTATGCACAGATTTAGGGCTAATAAAAAAATCTACAACTTCTCTGATGTTTCCAAGACAACAAAACAAGTTTTAAAAACGCTTGGACTACAGTACTCAGTATACTGGAAGAAACATCTGCTGCGTGTTATTTTTTGTATATATCTGCCATCCCAATCGAATCTGAGGAGCCATCCCTTCCGTCCACAATTTATTTTAATAACTGCGATTCAAATCAAAATTGTCTTACCACGTCGTTGAGACCGTCAGCTACACTGTGGTCCCTAGAGAACAAGACGCTGGCCTTGGACGTCTGCACAGCGATGGGACTACGGCTTGCGATTATGCAGGCTGTTTCTATAGCGCTTTCAAGCATAGCTTCTCTCGTCTCAAAGACACCACTGTGGAGAAACAATGATGCAAATATGCCTTCTGAACAAAATGGGGTGAACGTTAGCAGTACAGTTAAGTCAGAATTGACAAAATTTCGGACATGGGGTTGAGCTCTTCTTTCACAGAAATGCTAAAAATTTGGCTTTCAAGTATTGACTTTGTTTCACTGACCTGACAAATCCTTTCTCTCGGGCCTCATCGCTGCTGAACTTCCTAGCTGTGTAGATGATCTCTCTCAACCAACTCTCATCGCCAATGATCTTAGGGAATCTCTGAAGTGTGCCAAGATCTGCAGCAAGTCCCATTTCCACTTCCTAGCGACAAAGATTGCAGAACAATGTCTGAGAAAAAGAGAGTTACAGCACAGATGGTCTAGCTGAGGTTTCCCATCAACTTCCAAATGATGACTAGTTGACGAAACAACAGAGCTGGGGTCATCTCTATGATGCAAGGCCACGTCCAACAAATCTGCATGGCACTGGCTAGCAACATCGCACATCCATGGGACATTTTCTGTAGCAACTGGCTATCTCCTTCCATGAACACACGATTCATTTCTAGTCTTTGCCAAGTAATGCACACACAGCTTGAACTTGGGACGCTTGGGTCTAAATGAGACCGGGCTATTTTTGACCATCTCACAGCCAGCTGTCACTTCCCTGATCATTTCGAAAAAGACTTTCCATTCAATGTGACATACACTGTAGGCTTCTGATCTTATGGTCAATTGAAGTTCACATATCCTCATACGTGATGGCCCACGTGCATTGAGCAAGTGGTAGAAAAGGTGTATTTATTATTTTATTTTTTTTCTTCTGTCTCTGAAAAATGTGTGTTGCACGAGAACAACTTATCCAATTTTAACAAAATTGGTGTCAAAATGACAGCAAGATGTTGATGCCGCCCTCCCCCACTCTTCCCTGGTCGAGAGACACCGGCAAGTAAAAGTGAAACATGATAGGTTTATGTGCCAGTGACATCATGCTGTGTTACTTGTATACCTTTCTATGGAACTTCAATCTCTTATTCCCAACTAGCTCCTACAGGAAAGCACATGTGTAAACAGTGTGAAGTCATCATTACATATGCATGTATTTGATCGATGCTATGATTTAGCATTACTCTGTGTCTGAAATTTCATTTTTTTTTGCTCACACACAAACATGATTTCAACCATAGTTGGCTTACTTTGATTTGGAACCAGGCATCTTGAGTGCACAGCCGGATATCGCAAGCAGTGATCATGTCCACCCCTGCACCTACACAAGCCCCATGGACTGCAGCAATTACAGGCTTCAGACACTGTCAAAACAAGTGGGATATTGCAGGGGTGAGATTGGAGGAAGAAGAAAATCCAATAAAACGTCCAGCGGAAGGGCTGTAAACTTCCGAAAACAAAATACTGGGACATTTCAAGGCTTTTGTTAACATACGAGAGATAAGTTCTCTCATGAAAAAAAGCTAGGATTAAGTGAATCTTGCATCTTTTTTCTGACAGAAAGAGAGTTGCAAAAAAAGTAAAACATGAATGATTACGCATCTGGGGGTCAAAAAACCTGAAATCTGGAAAATTCTAAGACATCACACCAGGGATCAGAAAACAGTGAAGTAAGTTTCTTGCACTATGGTAGCCTAATGCTGTGACATCTGGGCCAAATTTCTCAGAGTTTCTATGGAGAAATTATTTCTTAGCAAAATTCTGTACTTGGCATTAAACAACAGACAACCAACACTTAGATGCACAGATTGCCTGACAGTCAGGCAGGAAACCTATTTTACGCTAAGACAATATTTTAAGCGGTAAGCAAATACTCATGCTTAAAGCACACCCGTATTACTGACCCTTGGCAATGCTATACAGTGCAACTAGGCTATATTGTACACCTGGCTGTGTCAGTGACCCCAATCAAACCATTCAAAAAATATCTGCCATGTTTGCTGGCCCTCCCCCCACCAAAACATACCAAACCTGGCCAAAAAAATCAGAATTGTGGATGCAAATGCTGTAACAATCATATCTTATGTTTCAAGAAGCAGACTTTGATTTACAGATTTGTAATTAATTCAGATATTAAACTTTTGGTCTTGTCAGTTTGTATGAAACAATGAGGAAAATTCCAAAGTCCAAACCCTCCAAGCATTTTGAAGCCTAGATTGAACACACAGGTCCAGCAATAACAGATGTTGTCCTATATGATACTTTGTTCATCATTCCAGCACTGCCCTCCGACTTGTCTCTCCATTATAGTAGTGTAGCAAAGACAGTCCTCAGAATTATATGCAGCAAGCAGACAAATGAAGTACACTTTGTCTGTGATAGCCATGTGAAGAGTATCAAGAACGTAGAACAGCAGGCAAGAGGTGTAAATGATGGATCATTTCACATCACTAGCTCTGACTGCCGACCAATTACATCCCAACCATTTCAAATATGCATTGAGATCTTCAAGCTTTCAAACAGCACTTCTGAAATTCTTCATGGACGAATGGAAAGATGACAAGTACGCTACTCTGACAGGACAGAGGGTTGTTGTTGCACATGACGGGAAGTGTTTGCAAAACACATCACCTGCATCAGGAACTGTGGTGCATAAAGTGTCAGAATTTGTATGCTCACAGGTGGAAGTCGGTACACACCTGATGTATCATCTAAGTGTGCTGTCAAAAGCAAATCCAAACCAGAATGTTACGATCATTTTCTCCTTATCATACCAGACAAGTTGCCTCCAATATGTGGATGGATTTGGTACATTTAAGTGATAACAATGGAAGATATGTCAACATCACTTCCCTAGCAAGCCACATTGGTCCAATTCTCTACAAGGCATGGCCTGGATACGTCAACTGGAAGTGACTATACTTCGTCCTTCTCGAGAAAGGAGGAAAGTCAGACCACTAACTTTGGCCGCAAAGAGTCCTCTTCATCTTGAGGGCCATAGGCATCTTGTAGGGAATAACCGCTTTGAAGACAATGACGGCCTGGTGGAGAAATACATCTACGGTCAAAGATCATCATCTGCGAATGAGGCTAGATTGAAGACATTCCTAAATAAATACAAATCACTGGACCCAGATAGTCCTTTGAACAAGATCAAAGGCATCGATACAAGAATGCTTCCCCCGTCAAGAGGTACTGAAGCAGAAGACTGCAAGATGCAACTACGTCACATACATGTACAGTACATGTGGAAGCGCGCCCATCTAAAAGACCTGTTGGACAACATTCATCCTAGAGATCATAGCTTGAAGGAAGTCGATAGACTCTATGTACCACGTTGGTTTTCTGGCAGCCAGATGCCAACTGTGCTGTCAGAAACCTTAGAATCAGAAGATGTAGAAGAGGACAAAGAAGATAGTGAGGAGATGAATGAGATTGGAAAATGAAGATGATAGCGATGATGATGGAAATTTGAACTTTTATTTCAGAGTTGGCAAAAGGAACAAATAAGTCTCGGACTATTATAAAATGACCGTGTCACTTTGATCATCCTGAAGAAACTTTAACCGTAATAGGTTATAAAAATACCAATGGAACATATGGCATGATTATTGATTATCGGGCCAAATTGCTAAAAAGAGTGTTTGAGAGCAAAACAGTCTCGAAAAGACAACACTAAAAATTCATATTTGGTGAGAACAGAGATTTTAGTTCATATATCAAATGTCATAAAAATGGCATACAAGAAAGTTGGTCAATAAGGTTACCGGTACTTTTATTGTTCAACCAATCCTAACTTTAAATTAAGTTTGGTGGTAATTGAAATTTTTGGTGAAAAGTGACAACTGATTCAAGAATGGTTAAGGTGGAGAGTAGGACTCAGCACCACTTTTTACACAAGATAAGACTGTAACAACATTTGAATTCAAAATTCGGAACTTTTATCAAATTTAGTTTTTAAAAATGACACTTTAGGGCAAAAATGACAAATATCTCAAAAAGATGGGAGTTGGGCCGATGGAACGGCCTAATATCTAAACAATATTGTACGTGGGGTCAATGAGAGTGCTTTTATTTAAATCAGTGCCTCTTTTTACATAAGTTAAGCTTTCCAAACCTTTGCCACCAAAAATTCTGATCAACCCAATCTACACTGTATCTCCTTGAGATTTATACTCCTTGGTGGAGAGAGGCAAGTGGGAGTAAAGTGACTTGCTTCAGGTCACAACATGTGACCACTGGCTGGATTCAAATCTGTGACCCAAGGTTTACGAGTCAAAACCCTGCTTTGACAATAGAATGACTAACAAAAGAATAATGTAGCCTCATGTGGCATCAATTTACAAGGAAACATTAAGCTGTCATCAGCACAAGTCCAGGGCAGGTTTCACACAAGACCACGTACCGCGAAAAAAGAGCTTCATCATAAGAAGAGGGGCGTTTGTAGCGAGGGTTTAAATTCTAATTTTACACGGTCCTAGTGACGTGACCTTGGCTCAAATTGAAATCAGAAACTAACACAAAATTATATTATGCTGCACGCAACACGGCATTTTGGTGCAGTACCTTACCATTCAAGTTGAAATGTGCAAACATTGGGACTTCAAAAGAGGTCTTAAAGCTGCTTCTTTTCGTCTCTGTGAAAAGGGGGATTTTTACAGACCAACAACGTGGGTCAGGTTGAAGTATCATATGTTCACATCGATGGGGTGCATACTTTTTTTCAAAAAATGTACACGCCTGGTGGGTCTTCAAATAGGCACCAAGTGCAAATCAGCAATGACATTCAGGTGCCCACCAAGCCTCTTTCTTTGTTGCCAAAGGGGAAGTAAGGCAACCAGACTCTATACACTCAACAGGGACAATTACCAACATAGTGCACCACCAACAGGTTGCTACAGACTGAGAGGCCATAGTACAAAGGTATAAACAAGTTGATATCTGCAAAGTGATGATCTGTTGGTACCTTTTCCATGACTGTAAATGACTCCTGCATTTCAGACACCCTCTGTTTTAGTTCCACTGCCTTACGCCCAACCTCTGTGTCTGTCGAGAATAGACTGGCTGAGTCCACCAGGTCAAGTCCTGTCGGTTATTTCAAACAATAAAACAACTCTAAGGATGTGATAAAAGTCATATTGCTAGTTTAGCAATCCATTTATCTAAATGTTTTGATTCTCAAAGATCCTCATTGGCGACTTGATTGGCAAAGGGTTTTGGGGCTTGCTTTAGGATTAGGATTCTGCATGTTTGAATGCTAGCAGAATCCAGGCAAATTAGCTCTCAGACCCAACTGATTTGGTGGGATGGCATGGCAGGTTTTTCCTTCTTTTCATTAAGTACATGTATTTCCTCAGATGTTGTGTGACAATAAGAAGAGATTTTTCTGTACAAGTTATAAGCTTTTTCATTACTGTGGCAACTTCAACTTTGTTTACTAACCCTCACCATGACAAACGCAACAACACTGTATATGATTTACACATAATAGCAAATCAATACACGTGGGGATTAAGGTTTAATTTTGCTGATTGATCACCTTGCAAAGGACAAATAGGGAAACACAATAAAGTAGAGGTAACTTGAGGAAAAACAAATGAATAAAAAACACTAGTAGGACCCTAACATATTGAACATATTGACTTGGGGCTTATTTGTATAGCAAGTGATAAGCTATAACAAAAACTGACCTCAGTGGTTACCTATGGGATTGTTTAAGTTTGTGTGGACAAACCACGATATTGTAATGAACTGCCATATTTAGAGCCCTGAGAGATTTTCCAAAGGTATCTCACTGTGATAGCACAGCCTGGCCAATTAGCCATCTCATTACTTATGACATCACAGACTGAACCGCAAGGTTGGGTGCTTCCTTCAGTTCTTCCTGTCCATTGTTGTTCTTATGCAAATTCAGTAATTGGCATACTGAGCAGGTTTTGTCTTGAGTGTCAATGTAAAACATCATACACCACCGAATACAGTGATCACTTATCTATTTAATTGAGCAATTAGTTAATGTAACATCTGCCTTCATCAGGATCATAAAATTCTCAAGAGGATACAAGAGGAAACAAAGTCAAGAGGTCTTGCTTAGAATCAGTTCATCATCATACCTGAAGTGAATATTTTCCCAGCTCCTGTTAGCAAAACAACCCTGCAATCCCCATCCACAGCCAACTCTCGAAAACACTCCCTCATTTCTCTGGGGAAAAAAAACCGATGGACAAACATTCAACAGCTATTCATTAAGAATCAATGCTCAAGTCTCCTACATTTTGGGCCTATTTGCATGCGGAGCAAAAAGAAGGGAAGTGAAATTGCCCCCCTAACATTGCACGTCTCTCATCATAAAGGTATTTTAAACATGGGGGGGTGACATGGCCTCCTTACCCTTGACCCAAAAAGTGGAAGGATACATGTACCCCTCCCCCCTGCAAAAAATTTCTCAATGATCTAGTGGAATGCAATAACTACTTGCACAAATCTAGGTACTGCTGCTGTATGACAGACATTCTGACTCACCTGTAAAATGTCTGGTTCATAGCATTCCTAATCTCAGGCCTGTTTATCTCTACTTGCTTGACGTAATCCCTTGGCTGGCTCACGGCCAACGTCTCGTAACTGTAGTTGAATGGCGCATCTGAGGACATGTTGCGAAGGAGCACAGCTTTCCCCAAAAACCTGTTCCCTGAATTGGTTTAACAGGAATAAAAATGAATTCACTCACACAACCCCTCCAATTCACTAAGGCAGTCTGTCTCTCAACCAAACGTTTACAAATTAAGCAAAGTACAAAGGTGCTCCACAATACAATAGAAGATGCTTAGGTGACTCGGGGTTATTTTAAGATATCTGAGTACACTAAATCTATACAAGTATACAAGAACACCTGTGGGTTTATTAGAAGGTTGTTTCTTAACAGAAGGAGTTGCAATTGTGTCAGTCATAAGTCACCAGCCATTCAGTCCCAAGTCCATCATTTGATTTTAAAAATACTCAAAACTATTAAAATTGGCAAAAATTGTTGTGAAAATTAAGGAATAGGTACAAGTACAATGCACATGTAGGGGACATTTGGAACTGACAAGAATATCACTTTCAGTGTGCAACTTTTCTCAGCATCCCTCAAAAATGCACCATCCATATTCATGAGCAAAACTGTGACATCATTCGAGGGAGAAAACCTCACATTCATTTGCGCCCAAAATTGCCTGAAATTTTATTTTCCTTGTCTAAATTTCCATTTCTTCAGTGATACGTTGTCTACTGTACAGGAGCAGCCCTTTTTCCCCACAAATTTTCAATAGCCAAATTCTGGGTTCACAATAGCAGAGTTTATGAATCGCTGGACGACATCGCAACTTCACTTTTTTCTGCTGTCTGGAAAAGCACAAAAAATACAGGAAACCTAATTATGGATGTCAAATATACCAAAGCTCTTGTACATTGACAAAGAGTACAAAGTCACACAAAAAGTGTGTTAAAGCCCTTAACCCCTGGGGTATGAGTTGCCTATAAGAGGAGGGTGTCTATGAAGGGTGTGATGAGTTCAGACCAACACGGACCCATTGTAGAAAATATATAGCGTAGCCAAATCTACCGCCCCCCCCCCACCTAGGGTAGCAGGGCCCCACTGTCCACAGTTGAGGGATGAGAGGTGTGGCGCGACTCGGGGCCCCACCTGGGCATCCATGAGACAAGCAACAGGCAGAGAATGAAGTGGTGGGGCATCCGCCCATCCCAGGCAGGGCGCTGGAAACCTTGAGCCAAGCGGGCCTTGGCCAAAGCTAAGTGGTGGGCCTACATGGTTAGGCTACAGGCGTTGGGGCAGCAGCACCCGCTGAAATCTTACTGGTCAAACCCTGGGCCGAAAAAGCCAAATCAACGGCCAGTGGTCGATTCCGCCATGCGAGCACAATGGTCAATACTGTCTATCGCTTCTTTAGGCTACCCAGGGTCCTCAAATGTGCAAAAAGTCAGGAGTTTTGGGCCCATTATAACACTTTCTAAAGAGAACATTTGACCTTAAACCATAACACCAACCCAGAGCAGACTATAGGGGATATGCCAAAATGTAAAAAATAAAATTTCCAGCATAATAACTGTTAAATAATTTGATTAACTGCGACCCTAATTATTGCTGTTTTAACATTCTCATACATGATCATGTGATAACTTTTTTGCAGTCCTTAACTGTGGCTAAGGAAATTTTCATTTACTTTCTCCATCAACAAACATGAAATGATAACAGCAGCAAAGCTTAAAAGTGATTTTGGACTGATACACATGACAGCAACTTGCAAAAACTTTTCACATTTCTCATTTTATTTATTTTATCAAAGGGGATGAACAATTTAAACAAATGAAGTAAAAACATGAAAAAACAGGGTGAATAAAAACAATACGAGGGTCGCTGAGGAATTGACAGCACCCATGATGGGACCCCAAACTACTCCCAGAACTGTGGGGTCCAACGTCCGCCCCGCTCCCCACTTAAGGGAGGGGGGCAGATGTCGGACCCCACAGTTCTGGAGGTAATGCCAAAATGGACCTCTTGCATTAAGGCGGAATCAGAGGCTATTCTTTGCACAAATGGTTTACTGGAGCTAGAGAAATTGCCTAGAATGTAACGTCATACGCCATGTACGAGGGGGGTCTATAGCGGAAAATGCAGGTAAAGACTTGAACTTGCAGATTTATGCTGGAGGATGAGGTCATACCACTTCCAAATGTTTAAAAAGGCGATGAAATCATTATTAAGACGCACAGTCACTGTTTGTACTCGAGCAGCAGGCGACCGGCGACCCTGCCGGGCAAGCTGGCATAGCTGCAGGCCCGCCGCGCCGATATGCGATACAGCGGTGGAGCGCCACCCAACGTTACACAGGCCAACTTCCGTCGCACGCTCCACACTGTACAGAGCCTTGCTCAGACTCTGGCTTGCTCAGTTCATATCCGAGCGCGAGCATGCCGAGAATAAAATCTGCAAAATAACAGAACGCTGCTGTATCACTACCAGTGAATAGGCCTACATACCGCAGACTCTCCTTTGCAGAACTTGAAATAACGCTTTTTGACACGATCTTAATGCCATATTCTTTAACCAACTTCAAGTGCATGTACATGTACAGTGCTAGTGGTGCTAGACATTACGTACACAAGGCGGCCCGGGTACCTGCAGTAGCAGTGTCGAAGTCGTGCAGTCGAGACGTACGTACAGTACTTACACAACTCCTACACGTGTTTTCAGGTAGTGCTGACCAAAGAACCCAAGTTCGTATAGCGGCGCTATACGATCTTTGGTGCTGACGAAGTGGCGAAGGTGATTGCCTGACCAGAGGAGCTCTTTGATTGCACGGAGGTTCAAGACTTTTTGTGTTCTGTATACTGAACTGCCAGTTGATTACTTACTGAATTATAAACGCTTTGTCAATGACCTCTTCTTTACATTTTTCCTGGGATTTTTTATGCTAGTCTGGTTTGTGTTTTTTATTTGCATTGATAGGCAAATATACTACTTCTAAAGTTACTGACTGACCAACATATAATTTCAGTAATGAGGCATTTTGGCCTCCTCCGTAACATAAAACATGAAGCTATTAAAAAGATGATGGATCTTGCAAAACAGCAGAAACTTTTCTCACAGAATTCATTCATTTGAAAGTCAGGAAGCGGATCGAGCCTAGAGTCACAACTTTTTACAGCATTGTTACTTTGTTGCATGGAACTATACAAGAGAAACTGACTTGCATTGCTGGAGATTTCAGACTCTGGTTCTGTGATGAGGTCCTGATGACATGATATCATAGCATATGTAACCACTTCCCATAAATGTGTGAATTACTGTGGCTGCTAATGGCCACAACCAGTTGGTTTGGGACATGGCTTGATAATGTCAAACCTTGTGAGGAGTTTGATGAGGTTCAAAATAGTTGGGAATTCTAAAGTCAATTTAATGAACATAGGGAGAAACAAGTTCAACATTCGTAGCATTTAAAAAAGCGATCACTGTCAACACAGGGTTATTGTTTCTATACAGTTAATAGGTTTGGGCAAGGGTCAATTTACCCATGGAATCAAAGTCATCAAAGTCAACAATAGGGAAGAATAATTTAAACTCACCCATGAAAAAAAGAGAATTTGAAGAGTTGAATCCATTCAAAAAATCACTCAGGTTTCCATTCAAGCACTTTATTTACTCTGATTCAGAGCTGCAAACTATATGTTTCCATTCCTGTACCTCAGCTGCATTTCAAAACTGAATAATTTGAAAAAATTCATGCTCAAATGCCACACATTACAAGCAACAATGTACAACCTATCAGGGGGTCTGAGTAACCGTGGAATTTCGAAAGGCTTTCTGTGCTCAGTACAAGCACAGATTTTCTGCACTTATAACATGAGCAGAGAATTCTGAGTTTTTGCACCAAAATTACAGTGAACAGAGCAAAACAATTAGACAATGATTTCTGAGGAAAATAAAATATCTCCTTAAAACACAGCGTGTACTAACAGAAAAACCAATTTACTCAAACTGTTATTTTACATACCTTGGAACAATTACATTATTATGACATTATTGTCAATAACAAATTGCAAACCTAAGATATTCATTGGAACATTTTTCAAGTTGTTACATTTGATGTTTGACATCCTGCAACACAGTGGTACCACTTAACTAATTACATGTAATCAATTACATGTATTTAAGTCAAGCATACCTTCCAAATCATCCAAACCTTCCAAATCATACATACCTTCCAAATCATCTGCCTTGCAAAAGTTACTGTAAATGACCATTTGGTTGTAAAGTATTTTGATTCTAAACTTTTGAAAGTAAACCTAATATGAAACTCAAACATTTTCTTCTGCTTGTTTTGTGTGCTGTTCATTACCTGTCTTTAACTACACTGAAAGTGCTTGGTACTCCAAAAAATAAATGGAAATAAAACCATCTCTGTATTTCCCTGTATAACCCTCTCAAAACTAAGGGTATTTGAGAGACATTTGTAATTTTAAATCTCGACTTATGAAAAAATAGAGATCAAGGACAAGTAAAACTCATTATGAACCACAAATCATAACTGTGAGCCACTTCGATAGTTGTGGTAGTTTACCACAAAAGGAACGCTCACTTCCCTTACAGCAAAAGCTTACATAATAAAATGTCAAGCAGGTTTGGTGCATTACCGATGCCCTTTTGCAGCCAAGAGCTCCACAAATAATAGGCAAACACATTTGGAAGTGTTAACCCTATCTGCCTTGATGCGCAAACAAATTGTATCTGGTTCACTAGTTCCCATACACTGACCAATGGATACAAACGAACTATTTCAGTTGCTATGGCAACATATTGATTCAGTATTGCAGTGAAATTACAGCTTTGAAAATGTGGGTTCAGTCTTCTGCATAGCTGCTGAGATTGCCTTCATCAAATCTTCACTCTGCAACATGCTGGCATTCCACGTTGACTGCAATAAAAACAAAGACAGGTCAATAGTAAGACAATTTATCAAATAATCCACTATGTTCTATTCACTTAAGGGAGTTTCATTAAAATTTGAATGCTTAAAAATGTTCCGAGGATAATGCTGCCTGTTCCATTGGTAACACCTGTTGTTTTTATTGGAAACAGCTTAACAACATTAATGCAAATTCTTAAATAGGAACAGTTTATCCTCAGGGAGAACACCGTGACAAAAGGAACACTGCAAATCCCAAAACGGAACTCACAGTGGTCCTGAAAGGAACGCTCTAGTGTAGACGGGAACATTTCCATGAAGATATTCCCTAAATATGCCTTTCTTTCTCCAAAGGCTGGGAGGGGAAAATTATCTAAGACTTTTTTAAGTCCCAACTGATTAACTGGGAGCAAACACAGCATTATCTGATGTTGACAGTCAAATGCAATACACACATACTGAAAACAAAATTCTCACAAAGCTTCAAAGTTTTTCTCTTTTCAACCTTATTTATTCACAATGTAGAAAAAGGCACAAGAAGATTTCACTCTTTTTTGGGGGGGGGGAGTCAGCTTCCCTGATAAATAACCATACATGCAAGCACAAAAAGATTCAGGGTTAATAGCAGACCTCCTACAGAAAAAAATCCCAAACTTTTTCATTTTGTTAGTTCTACAAGACAAATATTATCGCAAAAATATGTCAAGAAGTACTTGGACTACATTACCCATGGGTTCGAAGGTTTTAGGGCTGATATTTCTCTAAATGTCATCTGTCATCCCCTCACCCCCGCATTTACATCGCTGGATCCACCCCCCTCTTAGGTTTTGACAACTGTCAATCAAACCAAGATTATCTTACCACATCATGGAGACCATCAGCTACACTGTGGTCCCTAGAGAACAAGACGCTGGCCTTGGACGTCCGCACAGCAATGGGACTACGGCTTGCAATTAGGGTGGCTATATCCAAAGCGCCCTCAAGCATAGCTTCTCTTGTCTCAAAGACACCACTATGGAGAAAAGATGACACAAATATGCCCACTGAACAAAACTGTGCAAGCCTTAACAACAAAATTCGTTCAGAAATCTGAAGTGTGAGTTATTGAAATTAAATTGAACCTCTTCTTTCATAAAAACAGTGTTCCAAGTTTGGCTTCCAAGTACAGACTCTTTGTTTCACTGACCTGACAAATCCTTTCTCTCGGGCCTCATCGCTGCTAAACTTCCTAGCTGTGTAGATGATCTCTCTCAACCAACTGTCATTGCCAATGATCTTGGGGAATCTTTGAAGTGTGCCAATATCTGCAGCAAGTCCCATTTCCACTTCCTAGGGACATACATTGGAGAACAAAGTCTGAGAAAAACTGAGTTGAGAAATAAGAAATGGTCCAGCTGAAGTTTCCCATCAACTCCCCAAGTGATGTCTAGTTGATGTAAAAACAGAGCTAGGACCATGCAAGCCGACGTCCAAACTACAGTACTTGGCTACGGCTAGCAACAACACATATCTATGGTAAATTTTCTGCAGCCACTGGCTAGCTCCTTCCATAGACATACACACTGTTTCTAGCCATAGTCAAGTAATTCAGACACAGCCTGAATTTGGGAGACTTACATGTAAGAGACACTTGCCAGTTAAGCAAGTAAATCACAATAGGCCTGCGTGTAGGTACTGGTGACATCAAAATAGACCATATTCGCGGTGTCCCCTGTTTCAGTCATATTCCTGAACATACAGTGTAAATTTGGAACCCGTAATGGGATGGTACCAGATGATTTTGGAGGTCGGAATGAAAGCGTAGAATATAGTCTGGTCCTTTTAATTTAACATATTTTCAAATAAATACACTACATTGGGGAATATGACTGAAATTGGGTCCCCACGAATAGGGCCTCTTTGTATGCCTGGTTTTCTACAGAGCTTGAAATCTCTCCTACCTACCTGTCATCTGTGAACAGGCCTACACGTATCTGATCAATCCCATTACTCTCTCTATCAATTTCAAACATATCAACCACAGTCAGCTTACTTTGATTTGGAACCAGGCATCTTGAGTGCACAGCCGCATATCACAAGCAGTGATCATTTCCAACCCTGCACCTATGCAGGCCTCATGGACTGCGGAGATGACAGGCTTCAGACTCTGCAAAGAAAAACACAGCAGGTGAGATTGGAGAATGAGGAGAAATCACCAAACATCCAGTCAGACAGTTGTAACAATAAAAAAACACTGACATTTCCAGGTATTGAATAACATACCAGATATAGCTTTAGGCACTTAGTGTTTTTTTTTACAAGGTGCTTAAGAAGCAGCGAAACCTGATGGATATATCTCTAAAAGACCACAATTTTGGGGCCAACTCCAGAAATCTGGCCAAACTCACAGCCTTGGCATTAAGGATGAGGGAATGTGTCTTGCTCCTCTTTGACATACACAGAAATATTATTACATCATTATAAATGGTTTATTTCATTTAATAAAAACCCTAAATCCCAAGAGCTGAATTGCATGCGTAAGCATTACATAAATCAATACAAAAAATACAAACAGGACTAGCTACAGCATCACACAAAACATGTTCATTTTTAAAAACAAATATTCAACAATTGTCTGTCACAAAGATATACACGTACAAGTGCACAATATGGGTGATTGATACAAAGTAAAATCATGGTTAAATTTTGAATACCTGAACTATCAACCCCAATTATCTGCCCGTAGATGCTATGAAGAAACACTCATGAGGAATTCCTCAATAAACTAGAACGGCCAAGCCCCCACATAATGGGCACTCAAACAGGCGCCAAGTGCATACCAGCAATCACATTCAGGTACCAGCCTCCAGCCTCATTCTTTGTTGTCCAACGGGAACGAACAGTACCCAGACTCCAGGCCCTTCATTGAATAAAAGCTGATATTACTTAACAACCCTGATAGTACCTTTTCCATGGCTGTAAATGCATCCTGCATTTCTGTCAACTTCCGTTTCAAGAACACAGCCTTACGCCCAATGTCCATGTCTACCGAGTATATCTGTGCCAAGTCCATCAGGTCAAGTCCTGTTAGTTGAAATGAATTTAAGAATATGATTAAAAAAACACACATTACTAGTTTAGGCACCAATTTGCCTAAATGTTTTAATTCTTACATATGCTTATCTGTGACTTGATTGGCAAAGTGGCATTTTAACCTGCTTTAGGATCATGCAAGTTCAAATCCTGTCTACATTCAAATGCAAACTGGCTGTAAGACCAAGACTGATTTGGTGAGACGTCTGGTAAGACAGGTGTTTTTTTAATCAGCAAAAGTACATGTACTTCTGTAGATGTCCTTATTTGTTCACTGACTGACCATCAAGCGCAAGACAAATGGTGAAACATCATAAAAAGGAAGAGTGACCTGTAGAAAAACAAATTAATAAAATACTCTGATAGGGCACTAAAGTACTTGTCTTTGGGCCGATTTACATGTGCATGGTAAACACTATAAAAGGATATTCCTTGCAATAGCAAACAAATTCCTTGCAACAGACAGTGGTTTACTTTGGGGCTGTTTAAACCAGTAGAGGACAGACTGCGCAATAAGGCAACGACACATTGTTTTTAGAAACCTGAGCACTTTAGATTCTACACATGATTTCATTAGTAGTGTCATCACGGTACTTCCTCTTTTGCTTTTCATTTCTTCCCGTGAGGCACTGTTGTCATTGAGGAGATTCAGTAATTGGCATATCAAGTTGTTCTCAAAATGCAAGTAAATGTAAGCCACTGTGCTGCATACTATCTCCCTTGAGCAGCACTCCCTCACTGGTTGAAAAGAGCCATGCTGGTGGGAGGTGTTGAATTTGTTGGCAGCGATGTAACCATAACTCGTGCATTTCATAGTCGTTTGCGAACCAGCAGGGTGAAGTTCCCACCAAAGAAGCCTCCACTACTATGAAAATTGCTCCCTCTCTTGGTCTTGCTCGGAGTCCATTTTCTGTCACCATATTACAATTTCACTCATCTGTGTTAATGGACCCTTAGATTTTCCTTTTTAATGATTAAGCGATACTCGTTATGACCCTGAAAATCTCAATATGACATATCGGGAAAACAAAAACAAGAGATACATATATGGCCTGGAATGCCCTCCGTGCCTTCAGCATCAGACCTGTAGAGAAGACTTTCCCAGCTCCAGTTAGCACAACTGCCCGGCAATCACCATCCTCAGCAAACTGATGAAAGCACTCCCTCATTTCTCTGAAAAGAAAAATAAAGTTTTAACAGCAACATGTACAATGTATATGTAGTCATGAAGAATCAATATGCACATAGTAAGCCTCTCTAAATTGAAGTCAATTCCTGGTCCCTACAGATAATCGCATTTCTCTCCTTGTATTTCAAAAACAAGAAAGTTGCCCAAGGAGAGGGGGGATAGACCCTGTATCCTCCGTACATTTTACACCCACGGTGAACTCTCACTGTGCCATTGGGGAACACCAGATGGCATGATTAGGGCTCGCATCACCATCCATGAATGGGTACATGATAATGTCCTTTTATAACCAAAATTCTGGCTCACCTGAAGAATGTCTGGTTCATAGCATTCCTCTTCTCAGGCCTGTTCAATTCCACTTGCTTGACATAATCTCTTGGCTGGCTCACAGCCAACGTCTCGTAGTCATAGTTGAACGGTGCATCTGAGGTCATGTGACGAAGGAGCACAGCTCTCCCCACAAAATTGTTTCCTGAAAGAGTTTTCAGGAAACAATGAATTAGATCAAAATGAATTAGATCAAATAATCCCTCCAAAATGCTTTCACGGCAGTCTATTAACCTCCTGGCAAAAATTTGACACATTGTACACAGTAAGTCTCTAATTATGCAAAGTCAAATACAATACAATAATTTATGATGCTTTAGTGATCGCCCAGGGTTACCCTACATGTGTCCAAGCACTCNCCCCACTTTGAAAAGAGGCGACGGGAATGTGGAAGCGTGAGTAGAGCCACATGCCACTGAACAATCAGCCTTTTCACCCTGTAAATCAAAGCGTGCAGAGCATGCAGGGCCACAAACCGAGAATTTGCAGTTTGGCAGGTGGCCTTCGTGGCCAAGCGAGGCTGGAGTTCTTGGAGTCGGCTTTCGGGAAGAAATTCCCGCCGTCAAGGGGTTAATGATTAAGCGATAGTCGTTATGACCCTGAAAATCTCAATATGGCACATCGGGAAAACAAAAACAAGAGATACATATATGGCCTGGAATGCCCTCCATGCCTTCAGCATCAGACCTGTAGAGAATGCTTTCCCAGCTCCAGTTAGCACAACTGCCCGGCAATCACCATCCTCAGCAAACTGATGAAAGCACTCCCTCATTTCTCTGAAAAGAAAAATAAAGTTTTAACAGCAACATGTACAATGTATATGTAGTCATGAAGAATCAATATGCACATAGTAAGTCTCTCTAAATTGAAGTCAATTCCTGGTCCCTACAGATAATCCCATTTCTCTCCTTGTATTTCAAAAACAAGAAAGTTGCCCAAGGAGAGGGGGGATATACCCTGTATCCTCCGTACATTTTACACCCACGGTGAACTCTCACTGTGCCATTGGGGAACACCAGATGGCGTGATTAGGGCTCGCATCACCATCCATGAATGGGTACATGATAATGTCCTTTTATAACCAAAATTCTGGCTCACCTGAAGAATGTCTGGTTCATAGCATTCCTCTTCTCAGGCCTGTTCAATTCCACTTGCTTGACATAATCTCTTGGCTGGCTCACAGCCAAAGTCTCGTAGTCATAGTTGAACGGTGCATCTGAGGTCATGTGACGAAGGAGCACAGCTCTCCCCACAAAATTGTTTCCTGAAAGAGTTTTCAGGAAATCAAAATGAATAAGATCAAATAATCCCTCCAAAATGCTTTCACGGCAGTCTGTTAACCTCCTGGCAAAAATTTGACACATTGTACACAGTAAGTCTCTAATTATGCAAAGTCAAATACAATACAATAATTCATGATACTTTAGTGATCGCCCAGGGTTACCCTACATGTGTCCGAGCACTA